TCAAAGGTTTGTACTTTTGAATTCAGTAAAGTCAGTGTGGCAGAGATGAAACAATTATTGTTGTCTATCAACAACGACAAGCCACCGGGGTCTGACAATCTGGATGGAAAATGACTGAGGATAATAGTGGACGATATTGCCACGTCTTCAATTTAAGCCTACTAGAAAGTGTGTGCCCTCAGGCCTGGACGGCAGCAAAAGTTATTCCGCTACCCAAGAATAGTAAAGCCCCCTTTACTGGCTCAAATAGCCGACCAATCAGCCTGTTACCAACCCTTAGTAAACTTCTGGATAAAATTGTGTTTGACCAGATACAATGCTATTTCACAGTAAACAAATTGACAACAGACTTTCAGCATGCTTATAGGGAAGGACATTCAACAAGCACAGCACTTACATAAATGACTGATGATTGGCTGAGAGAAATTGATGATAAAATGATTGTGGGGGCTGTCTTGTTAGACTTCAGTGTAGCTTTTGACATTATTGATTATAGTCTGCTGCTGGAAAAACATATGTGTTATGGCTTTACACCCCCTGTTATAATGTGGATAGAGAGTTACTTGTCTAACAGAACACAGAGGGTGTTCTTTAATGGAAGCCTCTCAAACATAATCCAGGTAGAATCAGGAATTCCCCAGGGCAGCTGTTTAGGCCCCTTACTTTTTGAGTAAAGCCAGTGTGTCTATGTATGCGGATGGCTCAACACTATTCACATCAGCTACTACAGCAACTGAAATGACTGCAACACTTAACAAAGAGCTGCAGTTAGTTTCGGAATGGGTAGCAAGGAATAAGTTAATCCTAAATATTTCCAAAACTAAAAGCATTGTATTTGGGACAAATCATTCACTAAACCCTAAACCTCAACTACATCTCGTAATGAATAATGTGGAAATTGAGCAAGTTGAGGTGACTAAACTGCTTGGAGTAACCCTGGATTGTAAACTGTCATGGTCAAAACATATTGATACAACAGTAGCTAAGATGGGGAGAAGTCTGTCCATAATAAAGCAATGCTCTGCCTTCTTAACAACACTATCAACAAGGCAGGTCCTACAGGCCATAATTTTGTCGCACCTAGACTACTGTTCAGTAGTGTGGTCAGGTGCCACAAAGAGGTACTTAGGAAAATTGCAGTTGGCTCAGAACAGGGCAGCACGGCTGGCCCTTAAAAGTACACGGAGAGATAACATTAATGACATGCATGTCAATCTCTCATGTCTCAAAGTGGAGGAGAGATTGACTTCATCACTACTTGTTTTTGTAAGAGGTGTTGACAAGCTGAATGTACCGAACTGTCTGTTTAAAATATTAGCGCACAGCTCGGACACCCATGCATACCCCACAAGACATGCCCCCAGAGAACGCTTCACAGTCTCCAAGTCAAGAACAGACTAAGGGACGTGCACAGTACTACATAGAGCCATGACTACATGGAACTCTATTCCACATCAGGTAACTGGTGCAAGCAGTAGAATCAGATTTTAAAAAACAGGTAAAAATACACCTTATGGAACAACGGGGATTGTGAAGAGACACACACGTACAGACACGCATACACGCATTGTGATATTGTTGTATGGTGGTATTATACATTTTGTATTTTAGATATGTAGTGGTGTAATAATGTTATATGATGTACTGTTTTATCTTTTGTTTTATATGTAATGTAAGTGCTTTAATATGTTTGAACCCCCAGGAAGAGTAGCTCCTGCCTCGGCAGCAACTAATGGGGATCCATAATAAATACAAATATACAAATTCAGATACCTTAAAAAAAATGGGCCTCACAATGGGTCTCAGGATTTCATCACGGTATTTCTGTGCGTTGAAATTGCCATCGATAAAATGCAATTGTGTTCGTTTTCCCATAGTTTATACCATGCCTGCCCATACCATAACCCCACCACCACATGTGGCACTCTGATCACAACGTTGACGTCAGCAAACCACTCACCCACCCGACGCCATACATGTCGTCTGCAGTTGTGAGGCTGGTTGGACGTACTGCCAAATTCTCTAAAATGACGTTGGAGTCGGCTTATGGTAGAGAAATGAATGTTACATTCTCTGGCAACAGCTCTGGTGGACATTCCAGCAGTCAGCATGCCAATTGCACGATTCCTCAAAACTTGAGACATCCAGTGGGGAAAAAAGTATTTAGTCAGCCACCAATTGTGCAAGTTCTCCCACTTAAGAAGATGAGAGAGGCCTGTAATTTTCATCATAGGTTCACGTCAACTATGACAGACAAATTGAGAAAAAAAATCCAGAAAATCACATTGTAGGATTTTTTATGAATTTATTTGCAAATTATGGTGGAAAATAAGTATTTGGTCACCTACAAACAAGCAAGATTTCTGGCTCTCACAGACCTGTAACTTCTTCTTTAAGAGGCTTCTCTGTCCTCCACTCGTTACCTGTATTAATGGCACCTGTTTGAACTTGTTATCAGTATAAAAGACACCTGTCCACAACCTCAAACAGTCACACTCCAAACTCCACTATGGCCAAGACCAAAGAGCTGTCAAAGGACACCAGAAACAAAATTGTAGACCTGCACCAGGCTGGGAAGACTGAATCTGCAATAGGTAAGCAGCTTGGTTTGAAGAAATCAACTGTGGGAGCAATTATTAGGAAATGGAAGACATACAAGACCACTGATAATCTCCCTCGATCTGGGGCTCCACGCAAGATCTCACCCCGTGGGGTCAAAATGATCACAAGAATGGTGAGCAAAAATCCCCGAACCACACGGGGGGACCTAGTGAATGACCTGCAGAGAGCTGGGACCAAAGTAACAAAGCCTACCATCAGTAACACACTACGCCGCCAGGGACTCAAATCCTGCAGTGCCAGACGTGCATTTGGATGATCCAGAAGAGGATTGGGAGAATGTCATATGGTCAGATGAAACCAAAATAGAACTTTTTGGTAAAAACTCAACTCTTCGTGTTTGGAGGACAAAGAATGCTGAGTTGCATCCAAAGAACACCATACCTACTGTGAAGCATGGGGGTGGAAACATCATGCTTTGGGACGACTGATCCGTGTAAAGGAAAGAATGAATGGGGCCATGTATCGTGAGATTTTGAGTGAAAACCTCCTTCCATCAGCAAGGGCATTGAAGATGAAACGTGGCTGGGTCTTTCAGCATGACAATGATCCCAAACACACCGCCCGGGCAACGAAGGAGTGGCTTCGTTTGACCTGTGTCATTGCCAACAAAGGGTATATAACAAAGTATTGAGAAACTTGTGTTATTGACCAAATACTTATTTTCCACCATAATTTGCAAATAAATTCATTGAAAATCCTACAATGTGATTTTCTGGATTTTATTTCTTCTCATTTTGTCTGTCATAGTTGACGTGTACCTATGATGAAAATTACAGGCCTCTCTCATCTTTTTAAGTGGGAGAACTTGCACAATTGGTGGCTGACTAAATAATTTTTCCCCCACTGTCTGTGCCATTGTGTTGTGTGACAAAACTGCACATTTTAGAGTGGCCTTTTATTGTCCCTAGCACAAGGTGCACCTGTGTAATGATCATACTGTTAAATCAGCTTCTTGATATGCAACACCTGTCAGGTGGAAGGTTTATCTTGGCAAATGAGAAATGCTCACTAACAGCGATGTAAACAAATGTGTACCCAAAATCTGAGAGAAATAAGCTTTTTGCGCATATGGAACATTTCGGGGATCTTTTATTTCAACTCATGAAACACGGGACCAACACTTTACATGTTGCGTTTATATTTTTGTTCAGTGTAATACTGCCAAAAATGTGCTGAATACAAAGTATTATGTTTGGGGCAAATCCAATACAACAAATTACTTGTTAACACTCTCCATATTTCCAAGCATAGTGTTGGCTGCATCATGTTATGGGTATGCTTGTAATCGTTAAGGACTGGGGAGTTTTTCAGGATAAAAAAGAAACGTAATGGAGCTAAGCACAGGCAAAATCCTAGAGGAATACCTGGTTCAGTCTGCTTTCCTCCAGACACTGGGAGATAAATTCACCTTTCAGCAGGACAATAACCTAAAACACAAGGCCAAATCTACACTGGAGTTGGTTACCAAGAAGACAGTGAATGTTCCTGAGTGACCGAGTTAGAATTTTGACTTAAAACTATTTGAAAATGTGGCAATTCCTGAAAATGTCTTTCAATGATTAACAAGACAGAGCATACACTCCCAGCTTGTATTCCATACACTTGTATTCCATACACAATTTATATATTTATTAACTCCATTCTTTTACTTTTAGATTTGTGTGTATTGTTGTGAATTGTTAGATACTACGGCACTGTTGGGGCTGGGAACACAAGCATTTCGCTAAACACCCGCAATAACATCTTCTAAACATGTGTATGTGACCAATCAAATTTGATTTGATTTTTGATTTGACTTGAACTGAACAATCACTGACACTAATAAACATTTAAATGTCTAATGTTTTTATTTGTCTGTATTTATCTGTTTTAGTTTTGTCTCAACTTTCTTGAGACGCAAAATATGTGGCAAAGCGTTCAATAAAACTTTAGGCAAATAACCTAGTGGAGGAAAAGAGGCTCTCCACCGTGAGAAGAAAGCGCCCGAACACCCAAGGTGACAGAAAGTAATACGTGTGAAAATATTTAAGAGATGTGTTTATTTGTGCCAGTGAGTCATTGGGAGCCTGCCATGTGGAAACAATATCTGCCCAAAGGACACGAAAAATAAGCATTCCCCTTGGAGTGAGTTTATTAAACTTCGTAATTAGATGAAGATTTCTTTCTCCTCCATTTCCTCTGGCTGAGGGGGGGGGGGGGGGGGGGGTTGTGTGTGGTGTGTGTGTGTGTGTGTGAGTGTAGGAGGATGCTGTTTGTCACAAGCCTCTGAGAGGAGTTTGGAGTGACAGGAGGCTAGACTAGGGTTGGAGTCTGAGAGAGGGCTGGAGGCTGAGAGAGGGTTGGAGGCTGACAGAGGATTGGAGTCTGAGTGCGAGCTAGAGGCTAGGAGCAGGTTGGAGGCTGAGAGAGGGTTGGAGGCTGAGAGGGGTTGGAGGCTGAGATAGGGTTGGAGGCTGAAAGTGCGCTGGAGCCTGAGAGGGGTTGGAGGCTGAGAGAGGGTTGGAGGCTGAGAGAGAGCTGGAGGCAGAGAGAGGGTTGGAGGCTGAGAGAGGGTTGGAGGCTGAGAGAGGGTTGGAGGCTGAGAGAGAGCTGGAGGCTGAGAGAGGGCTGGAGGCTGAGAGAGGGTTGGAGGCTGAGAGAGTGCTGGAGGCTGAGAGAGTGCTGGAGGCTGAGAGAGGGCTGGAGGCTGAGAGGGGTTGGAGGCTGAGAGAGGGCTGGAGACAGAGGGGTTGGCGGCTGAGAGAGAGCTGGAGGCTGAGAGAGGGCTGGAGGCTGAGAGGGTTGGAGGCTGAGAGGGGTTGGAGGCTGAGACAGGGTTGGAGGCTGAGAGAGGGCTGGAGACTGAGATTGGTTGGAGACTGAGAGAGTATTGGAGGCTGAGAGGGAGCTGGAGGCTGAGAGAGGGGTTGGCAGCTGAGAGAGAGCTGGAGGCTGAGAGGGCTGGAGGCTGAGAGGGTTGGAGGCTGAGAGGGGTTGGAGGCTGAGATAGGGTTGGAGGCTGAGAGAGGGCTGGAGGCTTTAAGAGGGATGGAGTCTGAGAGAGGGCTGGAGGCTGGGAGAAGGTTGGAGGATGAGAGAGTTCTCGAGGCTGAGAGAGGGCTTGAGGCAGAGAGAAGGTTGGAGGCTGAGGGAGTGCTGGAGGCTAAGAGAGGGCTGGAGGCTGATAGAGGGTTGGAGGCTGAGAAAAGGTTGGCGGCTGAGAGAGGGTTGGAGACTATGTTAGGGTTGGAGACTGAGAGAGGGCTGGAGGCTGAGAGAAGGTTGGAGGGTGAGAGAGTTCTGGAGGCTGAGAGAGGGCTGGAGGCTGAGAGAAGGTTGGAGGCTGAGATAGGGTTGGAGGCTGAGAGAGGGCTGGAGGCTGAGAGAAGGTTGGAGGCTGAGAGAGGGCTGGAGTCTGAGAGATGGCTGGAGGCTGAGATAGGGCTGGAGGCTAAGACAAAGTTGGAGGCTGAGAGAGCGCTGGAGGCTGAGAGGGGGCTGGAGGTTGAGAGAGAGCTGGAGGCTAGGTCAAAGTTGGAGGCTGAGAGAAGGTTGGAGGGTGAGAGTGGGTTGGAGGCTGAGAGAGCACTGGAGGCTGAGAGAGGACTGGAGGCTGAGAGAAGGTTGGATGCTGAGAGAGGGCTGGAGGCTGAGATAGGGCTGGAGGCTAGGACAAAGTTGGAGGCTGAGAGAGCGCTGGAGGCTGAGAGTTGGCTGGAGGTTGAGAGAGGGCTGAAGTCTGAGAGAGGGCTGGAGGCTGAGAGAGGGTTGGAGGCCGAGAGAGGTTTGGAGGCTGAGCGAGGAATGGAGGCTGAGAGTGGGTTGGAGGCTGGGCGTGGGTTGGAAGCTAAGAGAGCGTTGGAGACTGAGAGAGGGTTGGAGGTTGAGGGATGGTTGGAGATTCGAGAGGGCTGGAGTCTGAGATAGGGCTGGAGGCTGAGAGACAGTTGGAGCCTGAGAGAGGGTTGGAGGCTGAGGGAGGGCTGGAGGCTGAGAGAGGGCTGGAGGCTGAGAGGGTTGGAGGCTGAGAGGGGTTGGAGGCTGAGACAGGGTTGGAGGCTGAGAGAGGGCTGGAGACTGAGATTGGTTGGAGACTGAGAGAGTATTGGAGGCTGAGAGGGAGCTGGAGGCTGAGAGAGGGGTTGGCAGCTGAGAGAGAGCTGGAGGCTGAGAGGGCTGGAGGCTGAGAGGGTTGGAGGCTGAGAGGGGTTGGAGGCTGAGATAGGGTTGGAGGCTGAGAGAGGGCTGGAGGCTTTAAGAGGGATGGAGTCTGAGAGAGGGCTGGAGGCTGGGAGAAGGTTGGAGGATGAGAGAGTTCTCGAGGCTGAGAGAGGGCTTGAGGCAGAGAGAAGGTTGGAGGCTGAGGGAGTGCTGGAGGCTAAGAGAGGGCTGGAGGCTGATAGAGGGTTGGAGGCTGAGAAAAGGTTGGCGGCTGAGAGAGGGTTGGAGACTATGTTAGGGTTGGAGACTGAGAGAGGGCTGGAGGCTGAGAGAAGGTTGGAGGGTGAGAGAGTTCTGGAGGCTGAGAGAGGGCTGGAGGCTGAGAGAAGGTTGGAGGCTGAGATAGGGTTGGAGGCTGAGAGAGGGCTGGAGGCTGAGAGAAGGTTGGAGGCTGAGAGAGGGCTGGAGTCTGAGAGATGGCTGGAGGCTGAGATAGGGCTGGAGGCTAAGACAAAGTTGGAGGCTGAGAGAGCGCTGGAGGCTGAGAGGGGGCTGGAGGTTGAGAGAGAGCTGGAGGCTAGGTCAAAGTTGGAGGCTGAGAGAAGGTTGGAGGGTGAGAGTGGGTTGGAGGCTGAGAGAGCACTGGAGGCTGAGAGAGGACTGGAGGCTGAGAGAAGGTTGGATGCTGAGAGAGGGCTGGAGGCTGAGATAGGGCTGGAGGCTAGGACAAAGTTGGAGGCTGAGAGAGCGCTGGAGGCTGAGAGTTGGCTGGAGGTTGAGAGAGGGCTGAAGTCTGAGAGAGGGCTGGAGGCTGAGAGAGGGTTGGAGGCCGAGAGAGGTTTGGAGGCTGAGCGAGGAATGGAGGCTGAGAGTGGGTTGGAGGCTGGGCGTGGGTTGGAAGCTAAGAGAGCGTTGGAGACTGAGAGAGGGTTGGAGGTTGAGGGATGGTTGGAGATTCGAGAGGGCTGGAGTCTGAGATAGGGCTGGAGGCTGAGAGACAGTTGGAGCCTGAGAGAGGGTTGGAGGCTGAGGGAGGGCTGGAGGCTGAGACAAGTTGGAGGCTGATTGAGCGCTGGAGGCTGAGACAGGGCTGGATGCTGAGAGAGGGTTGGCGGCTGAGAGAGCGCTGGAGGCTGAGAGGGGGCTGGATGCTGAGAGAGAGTTGGCGGCTGAGAGAGCATTGGAGGCTGAGAGGGGGCTTAGGTTGAGCGAGGGCTGGAGTCTGAGAGAGGGCTGGAGTCTGAGAGAGGGCTGGAGGATGAGAGATGGCTGGAGACTGAGAGGGGGCTGGAGACTGAGAGGGGATGGAGGCTGAGATAGGGTTGGAGGCTGAGCGAGGGCTGGAGACTGAGAGGGGTTGGAGGGTGAGAGAGGATTGGAGGCTGAGAGAGGGCTGGAGGCTGAGAGAGGGTTGGATTATGAGAGAGTGCTGGAGGCTGAGAGAGTGCTGGAGGCTGAGAGAGGGCTGGAGGCTGAGAGGGGTTGGAGGCTGAGAGAGGGCTGGAGACAGAGGGGTTGGCGGCTGAGAGAGAGCTGGAGGCTGAGAGAGGGCTGGAGGCTGAGAGAGAGTTGGAGGCTGAGAGAGGGTTGGAGGCTGAGAGAGAGCTGGAGGCTGAGAGAGGGCTGGAGGCTGAGAGAGGATTGGAGGCTGAGAGAGGGTTGGAGGCTGAGAGAGAGCTGGAGGCTGAGAGAGGGCTGCAGGCTGAGAGAGGGTTGGAGGCTGAGAGAGAGCTGGAGGCTGAGAGAGGGTTGGAGGCTGAGAGAGGGTTGGAGGCTGAGAGAGGGTTGGAGGCTGAGAGAGTGCTGGAGGCTGAGAAAGTGCTGGAGGCTGAGAAAAGCTGGATGCTAAGAGAGAGGGATGGAGGCTGAGAGTGGGATGAGGCTGAGAGGGGGTTGGAGGCTGAGAAAGGGCTGGAGGCTGAGAGAGGGTTGGAGGCTGAGAGAGGGCTGGAGGCTGAGAGAGGGCTGGAGTCTGATTGAAGAATGGAGGCTGAGAAGGGTTGGAGGCTGAGAGAGTGCTGGAGGCTAAGAGAGGGCTGGAGGCTGAGAGAGAGTTGGAAGCTGAGATATGGCTGGAGACTAGGAGAGGGCTGGAGGCTGAGATACTAATGGAGGCTGAGAGAGTGAAGGAGGGTGAGAGAGGGTTGGAGGCTGAGGGAGGGTTGGAGGATGAGAGAAGGTTGGAAGCTGAGAGGTGGCTGGAGACTGAGAGAGGGCTGGAGGCTGAGAGCCTGCTGGAGACTGAGAAAGGGAAGGAGGCTGAGATAGGGTTGGAGGCTGAGAGAGGGTTGGATGCTGATAAAGTGCTGTAGCCTGAAAGAGGGTTGGAGGCTGAGAGACGGTTGGAGGCTGAGTGAGTGTTAGAGGCCGAGAGAGATCTGAAAGCTGGGAGAGTGTTGGAGCCTGCGAGGGTGCTGGAGGCTAAGACAGGGCTGGAGGCTGAGAGAGGGTTGGAAGCTGAGAGTCGGAGAGACTAATGAAGGCTGAGAGAGGGCAGGAGTGTGAGAGAGGGTTGGATACTGAGGGAGGGTTGGAGGCTGAGATAAGTTTTTAGGCTGAGAGAGGTTTGGAGGCAGAGAGAGGGTTGGAGTTTGAGGGATGGTTGGAGACGAGAGAGGGCTGGAGTCTGAGAGAGGGCTGGAGGCTGAGAGACGGTTGGAGGCTAAGATAGGGTTGGAGGCTGAGAGAGGGTTGGAGGCTGAGAGAGGGCTGGAGGCTGAGAGAGGGCTGGAGGCTGATTGAAGAATGGAGGCTGAGAGAGGTTTGGAGACAGAGAGAGGGTTGGAGGCTGAGAGAATTCTGGAGGCTGAGAGAGTGCTGGAGGCTGAGAGAGGGCTGGAGGCTTTAAGAGGGATGGAGTCTGAGAGAGTATTGGAGGCTGAGAGAGGGCTGGAGTCAGAGAGGGCTGGAGACTGAAAGAGTGCTGAGAGAGGGTTGGAGGCTGATAAAGTGCTGTAGGCTGAGAGAGGGTTGGAACCTGAGAGAGGTTTGGAGGCTGAGAGTGTTGGAGGCCGAGAGAGATCTGAAAGTTGTGAGAGGGTTGGAGGCTGTGAGAGTGCTGGAGGCTAAGAGAGGGCTGGAGGCTGAGGAAGGGTTGGAAGCTGAGATATGTCTGAGGGAGGGTTGGAGGTTGAGAGAAGGTTGGAAACTGAGAGATGGATGGAGTATGATAGAGGGCTTGGGGCTGAGAGACTACTGGAGGCTGAGAGAGGGCATTAGGCTGAGAGAGGGTTGGAGGCTAAGAGAGGGTTGGAGGCTGAGAGACAGTTGGAGGCTGAGAGAGATCTGAAAGCTGGGAGAGGGTTGGATGGTGTGGGAGTGCTGGAGGCTAGAGAGCTGGAGGCTGAGAGAGGGTTGGAGGATGAGAGAGGGTTGGAGGCTGAGAGAGTGTTGGAGGCCGAGAGAGATCTGAAAGCTGGGAGAGGGTTGGAGGCTGTGAGAGTGCTGGAGGCTAAGATAGGGCTGGATGCTGAGCGAGTGTTGGAAGCTGAAATATGGCTGGAGACTGAGAGAGGGCTGGAGGCTGAGATACTAATGGAGGCTGAGAGAGTGCAAGAGGTTAAGATAGGGTTGGAGGCTGAGGGAGGGTTTTTAGGTTGAGAGAAGGTTGGAAGCTGAGAGAGGGCTGGAGACTGAGAGAGGGCTGGAGGCTGAGAGCCTGCTGGAGGCTAAGAAAGGGCAGGAGGCTGAGAGAGGGTAGGAGGCTGATAAGGTGCTGTAGAATGAGAGAGGTTTGGAGGCTGAGAGACGGTTGGAGGCTGAGTGAGTGTTGGAGGCCGAGAGAGATATGAAAGCTGTGAGAGGGTTGGAGGCTGTGAGAGTGCTGGAGGCTAAGAGGGAGGAAGCTGGAGAGTGGTTGGAGCGAGATACTGAGTGGCTGAGAGGTGAAGGAGTGAGAGGCTGGAGGCTGAGAGGGTGAGATGAGAGAGGTTGGAAGCTGAGATATGGCTGGAGACTGAGAGAGGTAGGCTGAGACTGGAGGCTGAGAGAGTGAAGGAGGTGAGAGAGGGTTGGAGGCTGAGGGGGGTTGGTAGGATGAGAGAAGGTTGGAGCTGAGAGGTGGGCTGGAGACTGAGAGAGGGCTGGAGGCTGAGAGCCTGCTGGAGACTGAAGGGAGAGAGGGTAGGAGGCTGGATAGGGTTGGAGGCTGAGCAGGGTTGGATGCTGATAGAGAGAGTGAGTCTGGAAGAGGGTTGGAGGCTGATTGGAGGACAGAAGGTGGAGGCTGAGGAGTGATAATGAGGCTCGAGAGAGATGCTGAGGAAGGTGGAGAGAGGGTTGGAGGCTGAGGGTGTTGGAGGCTGAAGAAGGTGGAGGCTGAGAGAGGGTTGGAAGCTGAGAATTTGGGCGTTGGCTGGAGCTGAGAGAGGCTGGAGAGGTGAGAGGGTTGGAAATTGAAGGCTGTTGGAGAGAGAGGTGGAGTGAGAGAGGGTTGGAGGCTGAGAGATGTTGAGGCTGAGAGGGTTGGAGGCGAGGGAGGGTGGAGCTGAGATAGGGATGGGCGTGAGAGAGGGTTGGAGACTGAGAGAGGGTTGGAGACTGAGAGAGGGTTGGAGATGAGAGGAAGGTGGAGGCTGGAGAGGTGGAGTGATGAGAGAGGTTCTGGAGGTTTGAGAGAGGGCTGGAGGCTTTAAGAGCGAGTGGAGCTGAGAGAGGCGTTGGAGGCTGGAGAGGGTTGGTTGAGGGATGGTTGGAGAGAGAGGGCTGGAGTCTGAGAGAGTGCTGGAGGCTGAGAGAGGGTTGGAGGCTGAGAGTAGGGATGGAGGACTGAGAGAGGGTGAGTTGAGAGGGTGGAGTCTGAGGGAGGGATGGTTGAGAGAGAGGGTTGGAGGAGAGAGCTTGAGTCTGAGAGAGGGCTGGAGGCTGAGAGACGGTGTTGGAGCCTGAGCGCGGATTGGAGGCTGAGGGAGGGCTGGAGGCTGAGGAGCCAAGTTGGAGGCTGATTGAGCGCTGGAGGCTGAGACAGGGCTGGATGCTGAGAGAGGGTTGGCGGCTGAGAGAGGGCTGGAGTCTGAGCGAGGGCTGGAGGCTGAGCGAGGGCTGGAGTCTGAGAGAGTGCTGGAGGCTAAGAGGGTGCTGTAGGCTGCGAGAGGGCTGGAGGCTGAGAGAGGGCTGGGGCCTGAGAGAGGGTTAGAGGCTCAGAAAGGGCTGGAGGCTGGGAGAAGGTTGGAGGATGAGAGAGTTCTCAAGGCTGAGAGAGGGCTGGAGACAGAGAGGTGTTGGAGGCTGAGATAGGGTTGGGGGCTGAGAGAGTGCTGGAGGCTGAGAGAGTGTTGGAGGCTGAGAGAGGGTTGGAGGCTGAGAGAGGGTTGGAGGCTGAGAGAGGGCTGGAGTCTGAGAGATGGCTGGAGGCTGAGATAGGGCTGGAGGCTAAGACAAAGTTGGAGGCTGAGAGAGCACTGGATGCTGAGAGGGGGCTGGAGGTTAAGAGAGGGCTGAAGTCTGAGAGAGTGCTGGAGGCTGAGAGAGGGTTGGATGCTGAGAGTGGGATGGAGACTGAGAGAGGGTTGGAGGTTGAGGGATGGTTGGAGGTTAGAGAAGGCTTGAGTCTGAGAGAGGGCTGGAGGCTGAGAGACGGTTGGAGCCTGAGCGCGGATTGGAGGCTGAGGGAGGGCTGGAGGCTGAGAGCAAGTTGGAGGCTGATTGAGCGCTGGAGGCTGAGACAGGGCTGGATGCTGAGAGAGGGTTGGCGGCTGAGAGAGGGCTGGAGTCTGAGCGAGGGCTGGAGGCTGAGCGAGGGCTGGAGTCTGAGAGAGTGCTGGAGGCTAAGAGGGGGCTGGATGCTGAGAGAGAGTTGGCGGCTGAGAGAGCGCTGGAGGCTGAGAGTGGGCTGAGGTTGAGCGAGGGCTGGAGTCTGAGAGAGGGCTGGAGTCTGAGAGAGGGCTGGAGGCTGAGAGATGGTTGGAGAATGAGAGAGTGCTGGAGGCTGAGAGGGGGCTGGATGCTGAGAGAGAGTTGGCGGCTGAGAGAGTGCCTGAGGCTGAGAGAGGGCTGGAGGCTGAGAGAATTTTGGAGGCTGAGCGAGGGCTGGAGGCTGAGAGAGCGTTGGAGACTGAGAGAGGGTTGGAGGTTGAGGGATTGTTGGAGGCGAGAGAGGGATGGAGGCTGAGAGAGGGCTGGAGGCAGAGAACGGGTTGGAGTCTGAGAGACGGCTGGAGGCTGAGAGAAGGTTGGAGTCTGAGAGATGGCTGGAGGCTGAGATAGGGCTGGAGGCTAAGACAAAGTTGGAGGCAGAGAGAGGTTTGGAGGCTAAGCGAGGGATGGAGGCTGAGCGAGTGTTGTAGACTGAGAGAGGGCTGGAGACTGAGAGAGGGTTGGAGACTGAGAGAGGGTTGGAGACTGAGAGAGGGTTGGAGGCTGAGAGAGGGTTGGAGGCTGAGAGAGGGCTGGAGACTGGGAGAAGGTTGGAGGATGAGAGAGTTCTGGAGGCTGAGAGAGGGCTGGAGGCTTTAAGAGGGATGGAGTCTGAGAGAGGGTTGGAGGCTGAGAGAGGGTTGGAGGCAGGAGAGGGCTGGAGGCTGAGAGAGTGCTGGAGGCTGAGAGAGTGCTAGAGGCTGAGAGCGGGTTGGAATCTGAGAGATGGCTGGAGGCTGAGAGAGGGCTGGAGGTTGAGGGTGGGATGGAGGCTGAGACAGGGCTAGAGGCTGAGAGAGGGCTGGAGACTGAGGGTGGGATGGAGGCTGAGAGAGGGCTGGAGGCTGAGGGTGGGCTGGAGGCTGAGAGAGGGCTGGAGGCTGAGAGAGGGTCGGAGGTGCTCTCATTGGTCATTTTCCCCCTCCTTTAGGCCCCACTCTCTCTCCTCTGTTTTCTTTTATCTTTCTCCCTTCTTTGGGAAGGAGTGACTGTGGGCCTCAATCAATCAAGGCCCTTGTTGATAGGTGGCTGTTGTCAATGACGCTTTAGCAGTCAAGCCTGTAGCCTTTGACCCCCCCCTTCCTTCCATCCCTCATCCCGTCCTCACTCTCTCTCCTCTCAGAGAGCGAGAGAGAGTGAAAGAGAGAATAGAGGATTTTGGAAGAGGGAGACTGGGTCGCTTTTAAATCACTGCGGTTTCATCTCCTGCGGGGATGTGTGCTCACGCTTCGGCGAGCCCACTGAATGAGGGCGAAGGCCCCCGCTATCACCGCTCGTTCACACGGTGGTTAGATGAGGATGGCCGCCGGTGTGGTCATCATGCTCTCCCAGCTATGAACAAACCCCATATTAACGAACCCCCCCACCTCCCACCTCTTTTCTTCCCCTCTTTCTCCCCATCCTTTCCTCCTCCCTTTTCCCACCTCCACCTCAGATGTCTGCATATGGATAGCTGTGTCCAACGGAGATGAACTGGGGGACCAAAAGGAAGAACAAAAGAAAAGAAGGAATGTGATCCGATATCCTTCATTTTGAGAAAGATGGGAAAAAAGAGGGGAGATGTTTAGACAGGGGACACATCCTCCACCCACAAGAAGCAGCACAGGATTACATTTTACACAGTCCATATATAAACACCTGGGTCTTGTTAGGGGGGAACCAAATACCAAAAGATCAGGGAACCAAATGTGTTGGGGGAGACAATGTTGTGAAGGCTCATAAGTGACCTGAGCAGGGGATTGAAGGCTGTTACAGAGATTACGGCGACCCACCTAATTAATGCATGAAAAAGGCATGAAAATCCCCAAGGAGTGAGAGGAAGAGTGTGTAGAACAGGCCATGATGAAAAGGAACATGGAAGGATTAGTTTGTGAAGAAGCCAAACAAACATGGGTTCTATCCACCTAATTTTCGAACGCTTTTAAAACATGGAAGCCAAACGCAGAAACTATGAATACAACTTTCTCCGCGCTCGTGTCTTTTCATAATTCATATACGTGCCACTAGAGATTCGTGCATTAGCATGTTTCTCTTAGCCGATACACCCTGAAAAAAATACACCGTATTACTGGCTTGCTAATATGCCTGGACCTTGCAGGCTAAACTGCCGAGAAAAACCCCATAACTTATCCAAATGGTTGCCCAATCAGGCAGGCTAGATGCAGTTATTTCTAAATGAATATGCTTTCAAAACTCCAGGCTTTTCAGCGGTTATTCAAATGGCAACAGGTTATTCACTGCTGTTTACAGACTAGAGTTTTGTATTGACTTGAAAACAATAATAACATTATTCATTACATTGTGTTGTTGTAGCCTAGGTAGAATACATTTATTGTCCCTAAAAACTGAAACAATAGGGTAGCTTTTTCGAGCTGTTACCCGGGGACTGGGAGAGAGCGCACTCAGCGCAGCCTCGGGAGAGCACATAGTATAGGTTACCTATGATTTGGTTATGTGATCAACTTTTTTTTTTTTTTCGCCGTGTAAATTGACTGTATATATTCACTGCAGTATTAAACCTAAAACTGAGCTTTTGCTTGCGTTCTCAAACAGCTGTAACTGTATATGCATTCGGAAATCAGGTCCTTTCTTGAGTTGGGCTCTGGGATGTAACAACCGTTGAGCATCTGAGCTCATGGTTGATTGTGGAGGAAAGGGGTTGAGTGTGTAAGAGTGTGTGCGTGTGTGAGTGTGTGTGTGTGTGTGTTCATCCCACATCTGTTGCAAGGGGGGTAAGGATGTTAGGGAGAATATAGGATGAACCACAGTCTCAGTTGAATGACCAGTCTTGAAACCTGACTGGTTTGGATCAAGAAGGTCATTCTGAGAGAGATAGCAAGAGAGTTGGCTAAAGACGGCACGCTCAATAGTTTTGGAGAGAAAAGAAAGAAGGGATACTGGTCTGTAGTTGTTGACATCGAAGGGATCGAGTGTAGGTTTTTTTTTTGAGGAGGGGTGCAACTCTCGCTCTCTTGAAGACGGAAGGGACATAGCCAGCGGTCAAGGATGAGTTGATGAGCGAGGTGAGGTAAGGGAGAAGGTGTCCGGAAATGGTCTGGAGAAGAGAGGAGGGGATAGGGTCAAGCAGGCAGGTTGTTGGGCGGCTGGCCGTCACAAGTCGCAAGATTTCATCTGGAGAGAGAGGGGACAAAGAAGTCAAAGCATAGGGTAGGGCAGTGTGAGCAGGAACAGTGGTGTCCTTTGACTTAATAAATGAGGATCGGATGTCGTCCACCTTCTTTTCAAAATGGTTGACGAAGTCATCCACAGAGATGGAGGAGGAGGATTCAGCAGAGAGGAGAAGGTGGCAAAGAGCTTCCAAGGGTTAGAGGCAGAGGCTTGAAATTTTGAGTGGTAGAAAGTGGCTTTAGCAGCAGAAACAGAGGAAGAAAATGTAGAGAGGAGGGAGTGAAAAGATGACAGGTCCGCAGGGAGTCTAGTTTTCCTCCATTTCTGCACGGCTGCCCGGAGCCCTGTTCTGTGAGCTCGCAATGAGTCGTCAAGCCACGGAGCAGGAGGGGAGAACCGAGCCGGCCAGTAGGATAGGGGACATAGAGAGTCAAAAGATGCAGAAAGGGAGAAGAGGAGGGTTGAGGAGGCAGAATCAGGAAATCGGCGGGAGAAGGATTTAGCAGAGGGAAGAGATGATAGGATGGAAGAGGAGAGAGTAGCAATGAAGGTTGCGACGGCACATTACCATCTGAGTAGGTGCAGAGTGAGTAGTGTTGGAGGAGAGCGAGAGAGAAAAGAATACAAAGTAGTGGTCGGAGACTTGGAGGGGAGTTGCAGTGAGATTAGTAGAAGAACAGCATCTAGTAAAGATGAGGTCAAGCGTATTGCCTGCCTTGTGAGTAGGGGGGGACGGTGAGAGGGTGAGGTCAAAAGAGGAAAGGAGTGGAAAGAAGGAGGCAGAGAGAAATGAGTCAAAGGCATACGTAGGGAGGTTAAAGTCACCCAGAACTGTGAGGGGTGAGCCATCCTCGGGAAAGGAACTTATCAAGGCGTCAAGCTCATTGATGATCTCTCCAAGGGAACCTGGGGGGCGATAAATGATAAGGATATTAAGCTTGAATGGGCTAGTGACTGTGACAGCATGGAATTCAAATGAGGAGATAGACAGATGGGTGAGGGGGAAAAGAGAGAATGACCACTTGGGAGAGATGAGGATTCCTGTGCTACCGCCGCGCTGACCAGATGCTCTCGGGGTATGCGAGAACACATGATCAGACGAGGAAAGAGCAGTAGGAGTAGCAGTGTTTTCTGTGGTAATCCATGTTTCCGTCAGCGCCAAGAAGTCGAGGGACTGGAGGGTAGCATAGGCTGAGATTAACTCTGCCTTGTTGGCCGCAGAACGGCAGTACCAGAGGCTGCCGGAAACCTGGAACTCCACGTGGGTCATGCGCACAGGGACCACCAGGTTAGAGTGGCAGCAGCCACACGGTGTGAAGCGTTTGTATGGCCTGTGCAGAGAGGAGAGAACAGGGATAGACATACACATAGTTGACAGGCTACAGAAAAGGCTACAATAATGCAAAAGAGATCAGAATAAAATTAACTAAACATCTGGGGAAGCGAGAGAGCGAGGCCTCCCTCACTTACCTTTCACTGAAACACTCAAATATAACTCTCCCAACTTCCACTTTAGAAATTATAATTTAATGTTTTCTAGGAATAGACTCTAACTTAATTTATTCAGCTAGATAACTTGGTACAGTATTCTTCCTTGAAAACCGCCCAGGGCACCGTATCCTATGACGCCATAGCTAACTAGCATGCTAGCAGATCACTGGGATGACAACCCGACTTCGGATGGGGAGGGGCTTTAGCGGGGGGAATAGTGGAGAACAATTGGAGGGTTACTTAGCAGCAATGGAAATATCATGGTACAGCTATATGGACACTCAATGACTATGGTATTTTTTATTGGTAAATTTACAAACATATATTATGATAAATAGATTTGAAACTTGTATCTCATTATGGTAAGTGGTGAAATAAGTATAGCCAGTTATAATTGCAATGGCTTAGCAGATAATAAAAAAAGAATAACAGTATTTACATGGCTCAAAGAGAAGGAATATAATATCTATTGTTTACAGGAAACTCATTCAACAAGTCTAGATGAAGTGTGGAAAAAGCACTGGGGGTGCGAAATATGTTTCTCCCATGGGCAAAGAAACTCAAAAGGGGTGATGATATTAATTAACAGTAACTTCCATCCGAATGTGCAAATTGTCCAAACAGATCCACAAGGTAGATGGATAATTTTAAATATGTTATTGGACCATGAACAGATATGATCCACACTTCTTTGACAATATATACTGTATATAATAAATTTTCAACCCTGCAAGCAATATAATACTCTATTATTATGGTGGGAGATTATAATAATGTTTTAAATAGCTCAATGGACCGTAAAGGAAATCACACTACAAACTATCACCCTCATGCTTTTAAGGAAATCATGAATGTCATGGATACATTACAACTAGTAGATATATGGAGGTTTAAATGTCAAGACCTAGTGAGATATACAGTGAGGGAAAAAAGTATTTGATCCCCTGCTGATTTTGTACGTTTGCCCACTGACAACGACATGATCAGTCTATAATTTTAATGGTAGGTTTATTTGAACAGTGAGAGACAGAATAACAAAACAAAAATCAGAAAAACGCATGTCAAAAATGTTATGAATTGATTTGCATTTTAATGAGGGAAATAAGTATTTGACCCCTCTGCAAAACATGACTTAGTACTTGGTGGCAAAACCCTTGTTGGCAATCACAGAGGTCAGATGTTTCTTGTAGTTGGCCACCAGGTTAGCACACATTTCAGGAGGGATTTTGTCACACTCCGCTTTGCAGATCTTCTCCAAGTCATTAAGGTTTCGAGGCTGACGTTTGGCAACTCTAACCTTCAGCTCCCTCCACAGATTTTCTATGGGATTAAGGTCTGGATACTGGCTAGACCACTCCAGGACCTTAATGTGCTTCTTCTTGAGCCACTCCTTTGTTCCCTTGGCCGTGTGTTTTGGGTCATTGTCATGCTGGAATACCCATTTTCAATGCCCTGGCTGAGGGAAGGAGGTTCTCACCCAAGATTTGACGGTACATGGCCGCGTCCATCGTCCCTTTGATGCTGTGAAGTTGTCCTGTCCCCTTAGCAGAAAAACTAACTCCCTCACTTACCTTTCACTGAAACACTCAAATATAACTCTCCCAACTTCCACTTTAGAAATTATAATTCAATGTTTTCTAGGAATAGACTCTAACTTAATTTATTCAGCTAGATAACTTGGTATAGTATTCTTCCTTGAAAACCGCCCAGGGCACCGTATCCTATGACGCCATAGCTAACTAGCATGCTAGCAGATCACTGGGATGACAACCCGACTTCGGATGGGGAGGGGCTTTAGCGGGGGGAATAGTGGAGAACAATTGGAGGGTTACTTAGCAGCAATGCAAATATCA